AATAATCAGCACAAAACCAGCAAACCAGTCTGGTGATTATCATCTTCAGCAGTCCAAAAAAATAAAGAAGAAGAAGCAAAAAATACGCACACAAAAACATAACTAAATAGCCAGAGATGTAATCAAATTTTGACTGTGGTATTCATTATATCTCTTCTTGTCGTTGTCGTTGTTGTTATTGTTGGTGGTTATTAGCCAATAGCTATAAATTAAATCCTGTATCAAAACATTATTTTTTTTTACAAATTCCTGATCATTAACAAGAAAATTCTAAAGAATTCTGTTGGATTTGTTTATAATAAAAATATTTTGTTTTGCGTCGTTCAAAACAATTTTTTTAATTAACAAACAATTAAATTAAATAATTTAATTCTTTCACATACTACTACTATTCACTTGGGGTTTTGGGTTTGATACAACACAAGTTCTCGTTCAGGAAGTTTTCTGGCATATCTTTGTTGGTAATTACTTTCTAAGGAAGTCTTTGACTGTTTGTCTTTAAATTGCAAAATTCCAACAACAAGTATTTTCTGACAAACAACATCAACAACACCAACATTCTAACATTCTACCCTGAATGTAATTCTTACATGCCGTCTAGGCGAGGTTAACCAGCCAGTCAGTTAAATTGTTATTTAACGTTCCTCTGCACGATTGCGATTGCGTAAACAAGGAATAATTACATCAAGGCTATTTATATCTTAGGTGACTAATATTATATCTTGAAAATGAATAAAAAAACTAGTTAGCGAACACTATGGCAGTCGTGAGATGAAGGGTATCACACCCTCTATATTTTGAGTTCCAATTGGACAACAAATTTTAATCATTAAAATGTGGTATTTTTAGAGTTCTTGGACTCGATTTGAAATTTGAATTGGCTGTAATTTTATATTATGAGTTCAATGTTTCTAGGTGTCCCCAATATAAACAAACCCACCTTTTCATTTTTTTATGTTTTCAAAAAAGCCTTCAGAAGTGAATGTCATTTACTATTTTTTGTGGCCCATGGGTGGCAAAATATGTTTGGAAAAATAGTCTAAGCGAATAAGAACCAAAACTTTGGAACGGTCGTAATTACCGACTTTTTAAGTAAATCAAAATGTACGTTTTATACACATACTATTATTTAATAAAAACAAAAATATTTTTCTAATTTTATTTGAAGTGGTTAAGGATCGGGTTACATCGTATGTATTCTTTAGTAGCCAGATATCCATGCATTGAAGAGGCGAAATTTGATATTATTATTAGGAAAAGTGATTACCTGGCGACAAATATTTCTATAGGGTGTTATGAAGGCTGATACCAGCTTCCATTCACTGCAGAGCTCGGGCAGACCTTTTCCTTGTCGAAAAAGACCTTTGCTTAATCACAAAAATCAACAACAAGAAATATGTTTTATTTTATTTCCTATGGAAAATCGTCGAAAATTTAAAGAAAGAGGGACACTATCACTTTTGTCTATGGGTGGTTTAATTTTAAAGAGAAATAAAGTTGGGTGTGATGTATTCTCTTTAAAATTAAACCACCCATAGACAAAAGTGATAGTGTCTCTAATGGACCAGAACCGCTTTGAATGATGATAAAAACTTTCAAAAAAGTAAGATGGTAAAGATCTGAAAATGTACTTCCGAAATGTCATATATTTTCCAATGGATAAATCGGCTAGGGCCTTCAAATCAATCAATAATGGGGCTGGACTTCTAACAAGTATTTCGAGAACCTAAAATGTAAAAATGGAACAAATTCGATTGGGTCTAGAACCTTTAAGTAGAACATGAATTTATACGGGAACTATACGAAAATTTATACCGAATATTTCGACTGAAAACTGGGGCTCAGAATTTTAAAATGCGTGGTATTTGTGCTATACCAAAACAGCCACGTATATAGAAAATTTTCTGGGAGAATATACTTTCTGAGAAGTGCTAAATTTCAGACACTTCTATTAGAAAATTCGTCTAAAAACTTCAATGTTTCGAAAAAGGAACGATACAGTTAAATGTATGCATTTGAAAACGTTGAACTATATATCCCGTTTTCAATACCAAACATAATAGAATATTATTGTAATATTTCAAAGAAATTATAAATCGTTATCATAAATATTTTGCAATCTATTAGAAGTAAACAAGCAGACGAACACACACAAACACGACTAAATCGATATATAATTTTCTCGATCATAAATGACTTATTGGGTATAACAATTTTTGTGTTAATGGAACAAATTGTGAAGTACCTCAAAAATTAGGAATCCAAATACTGGTAACTGAAAAATTTGGATTTTATTTTGTTGGTTTATTGCAGCATTCGAATAATACACTTAAAGATTAATATACACTTTAAGATTAATACCACGTATACGTAATATTAATACAATTGATATTTTATTAATCATACGTTTAAATAAACCTCAGACTACTAAAATAATGTCGATCCCTAACAGTTCATATAAAAATGGGAATGTGTTAGAACCTCTTAAGTAGTGTCATTTCCTACTTTCCAAGGAATGTATTATTAAAAAATTGTATAACTCATAAAACAAATAAAACAAATAGCAAACTATAATATTATGTTAATGTGCAATTTGAAACTCTTGAAACTTTGAAAAGATCGAAACGACAGTGGTATGGCCAAAATTCATGCCTATAAGTTGTTTTTGAAAAAAAATCATTGTACAATTTCTATATAAATAAAAAGAAATATTAAAAAATGATTTCCAATTTTACATTACAAAAACGTTCAAACGAAAAATATAAAAAAGTTGAATAACCTCTTAATTGAAGCGCATAAAATATCTATGAAATTCAATTGAATTAAAAAAACGGTTTAAACCACAAACACACTAAACAACAAAAGCAACAACAACATCACCACCAATACAAAAGAACTGTTCAAAATAATTGATGTTATTATTATTATGCACAAGGCTTTTTATTGGTGGTGGGTTTGGATAATTGTAGAAAATACTACAACTTTAGCCGTTGCCCAGAGCCCCCACCAAAAAAATAACGCTGACTAGAAAAAGCTAGACACTGATATATGGTCAAGATAAAATAAACATTGCTGCTGTTGTTGCTGCCACGTTATGAGAACTAGGAACGTGGTATGAATTTACATTTAAAAACTACAAGAAAAACAACAAAAATACTCAATAAGAAACACGATAAACGGCAAGTGTTTGTTGGCATCGTATTCATGGTTCTTAAAAAAAGTTGTTGTTTTCCATAATGTACTGGATTAAACCAAAAACTAAAGAAATAACGTTGAATTATTTGTAAGCCAGAAATAATTAGTATTCAACTCGGGTTTAGAGGTGAAAACAACAAGAGAAATAATACTTTTTTTTGTTTCTTAGTCACACAAGAACAAAGCCGGCATTTTTTTTTTTTTTTAATAAAAAAACATAGCATTTCAATGTGGAAAAAAATAAAATAATACCAATGGCATGAATTTATCCAGAAATTACAAGAAACAAATACGAAATTGTAAAATTGAATATCTTCTACTGCAGCGTAGTTTATTTTATTTGACATTTAAATGTTTTTCTATTGATTTTTAATCTTTGTGGCATGTTTTTTTCACCCAACGCCTGCACGAGTTTAAATGTCAATTTCATCATTACTAATAGTAGTAGTGGTTGTGTGATTTTGGAATTTTGGTGTGATGGCCTGCCTGGTGATTTGGTGGCTTGAAACAATCAAACAAAACAACAACAAATACAAACTCCACTCCTTAATTTCATTGAAGAGTCCATCCCATGTCTTGTCTTATTCGTAAAAAAAAAAATAAACAAGAAAAATTAAATTATTTTTTTGTTTCTTTGCTTGGCTAGGAGTGTGAATTATGTGTGAATGCTTTTATGATTCCAAGAGTCACTAAATTTACAAATTGGAAGAAGACCCCAATAAAATTTAGAAACAAAAAACTTGCACAATCTTTTTATTTAATTTTTATCAAAAAAAAAAAAAGCTTAAAACAAGATTTTTTAATTTAAAACCCAAAAAATATAATATTTACATTTAAAACAAAAGACTTAAGCAACAAACTTGCTCGTGGTGAATATTGTCAATGGTGGTCCACACTCATTGGGCAGGTCATTTGTTATTGCCCCTATTTTTTGTGCTAATTATTGGAAATTTTCATTATTACATTATCAATTCACAGACGGTGTGTTATATAAAATGATTTTTCTTTGAATGACAGCAAAAACAAGATGAGCTGTTTAATTTCCAAAAAAGAAAAAAAACTGGATTTTTATTCAAATTCCAACTGCATTAAAACTTTGTAGTGCATACTAATCGCATTTGTTGTTGTTTCAAGCAACAACACAGAAACAAAAAAAGCTTGGTCTTTTGTCATTTACTCCCTCGGCAAAGCAAATCAAAGCAGAGCAGAGTTATGGTGAGCTTAAACTAGTTTATTTCCCCTGTCAAACAGTACAAGAAATTCACCACTCACCAAAGCTACGACAAAGAGAGTGAGAGAGTAAGCCATACTCCATGGTAATGGTATGTGTTATTGGGCACGTGAGCAAAATCTACAAGAAGTCTTAACTCTTTTTCGTTCCCAACGAAGTTCGTCGCGGCCGTCATGTTTTGTGCATTGGTAGTGGTGTTGTATGTGGGTCTCCTCCGTTGTGGTAGCTTCTCGTCTCAGCAGAGTTTCAGGTTTTTTGGGGGTTTTGGTGGATTTAAGGGGCACTGCGCCATTAACTCACCACTCTGCAAATATCGCTTTGAAAATCGTCAAGTCTTTTGTGCATCTTAATAAATAGAACTTGCCGCTGTCAAGCTACACCTAGTGTAATCGTGGCTGTGTATTGAGCAAGTACGCCAGCTAACGTTTATAGTTTATAGCAAATAAACTACAAACATCAAAGTTAGTATTTTTTTCAAATTCAATTTTATTTTTCCATAATCCGTTGATCCAAAAGACGAAGACAAAAATAAATAACACAAATAAAATAAAGAAAAAATAGTGACACAAGTGTTAATGCTTCAAATTTTCTTTCCTTTAAAGGTTTCCCTACCAAGACCGATAAAACAATAGCACATACGCAAGATGGCGCGTGTGTTGCCCGTATTAGGCTTATTTGTGCTGTGCTGTGCTTTGGGTAAGTTTAATAATTTTTACTTTTTTAAATTGAAAAAAAATTAATAATGTGAAAAAAGGAGTGTTAATTAAAATTTAAAAAAAAACGAATTAATTTAAAACAAAGGAAGTGTCAAAACTGCGCCATTTTGAATTTTTAATTTTAACGATACAGTGATGCCACGTATTTCTGTGCAAAAAAAATAAAACTATTATTAATTTTAAAATAAGTTTAAACATAAATCAAACGTTTAAACAATATTATTGAATCACGTGAAAAATGAAAAAAAAAACTATTGCACCTTAAGAGCCACCCGTAAAAGTTTTGAGTAGTTAACTACTTACAATAGCCAATAATTATGGTTGATTAGTAAGAGCCAAGGTTAGCAGCTTGGCCACAACAATTGAACAGTGGCAAACAACCAAAGTTAAATGAATAAAAAAAAACACAACAACTTTAGCACAAGTCAAGCAAAAATCAAACACACAACAACAACAAAGTCAATAAAAAAATTTTTCGTATTAAAAAACATTCACAATTGAAATATAAATGAATGGACCTCTTCATCCAACCAACCAATCAACCATTTGCATGTGTGTGTGTTGGACTTTTAAGGTGCAGTTGTCTTCTTCTTCGGTTTATTTTCTTTAGCCTCCACAACTTGAAGTTTATTTACTGACTTAATGACTTGTCTTGATGTTGTTGTTGCTGCTGGTCATATTTACATAATTTTGCTGTTGTGGTCTTTGTGTGTATGTGTGCGTGTTATAAAAATACACTCGAAATTGTCATAATATCCTCGTTTGTTTATGCAATACAAACACTCACACACACACACTTGATATGAAATTGGAAAAAAATGTCTTGGATTTTTGTTGTTCAACCCAGCAGCAGCAACAACAATAAAAACTGGTTACAAAACCCAGACCGTAGCAATCAATTGATCGAACGTCTGTATTTCTAGCTGACAATTACTAATGCAGTTCTTCTGGTTGTTGCTATTGCCGGTGCTGCTGCTATTCAAGAGAGGCAATACAACCGTTTTTTTCAATTTGTATATCTTTTACATTACTTTTACTCTTTATGGCTAAAAGGAATGTATGTCTAGAGATTGCAGTTTTTTGCTATTTATTATACGGAAACTGGTTAAACGCCTGAGTGCAACAAGACCGACTTAAGTAAGACTGGTAATAATAGCCAGTTTAATATTACACTGCTAATATTTCCCTTTCGATTTCATTGCAAACAAAAAACTGAAACAAACTTAATTATACCGGCATGCAATTTTCTGACACTACCTTTCAATTTGTATTCATAGTGGAGTTGTTTTTTGCAACAATTGTAATTTTTGTGTATTTATTTTTTTCTTATAGCTGCCAGTCAAGAAACCCGTGACAAACTTGAGGGTATCGATGTTGAAGAAGTCTGCCAAGACAGACCCGGAGATGAATATTTCCGTTTGGACACCGAGTCCGATTGCCGTGAAGTGTACAGGTAAGAGATTTGTTTACGAAATACTAGAGAACAATCATTTGGAAAATTACATTTTCTTTTTAATGTTTTGGCAACAACTTTAAATCTTGGAAAACAAAGCAAATAGAAAACAAAATATAGTAAAAAAATTCCTAGCATAAACCTTTGTAGAAAAAATCTCAATTCAAAATGCTATTGTTACAATAAAATAGCCTTATCCTTCGTCGGGACAAAACTACTCTACGAAACCATTGAAATAATGAAGGAAATTAAATAATTAATTAAAACATATAATCAATTAAATTAAATTCCATTAAAAAAAGTGTAAAAAAAACACAAATATTCTAGCTATATTACAATAGCGCCTAAAAGTATGCTCTGAAAATATAATTTACTCTACATGGAATAGATTAAAGATCAACAAGGGATATTTAGTTCACATTGTTATTTTGACGCATAAAATAAAGCAGAGACGTGGACGGAATGTTAAATTAAAAAACATTTCACCTAAAAAAAAACTATTTATAGGGCAAATAATTTTAAAACACAATTCTGGCCACGTCTTAATAATCGACTTTCAATAAATGTGAGATATTAAAACGTCGAAACTTAGTTTTATATTAATTTAAATTCAAATTTGCAACAATTTTTCATTATTAATGAATAAATTTATAATAAACTAACATTTAAATTTTATAATTATTTAAATTTTAAAAAGAAAACAAAGAAAAATGCTAATAATTTCCATATAATTCTCGCATCTGAAATCTCTATTAAACATATATTTATATTTTTTATTAACTTTAAAAAAAACAAAAATTCAATTAAACAACAAAAATAAAGATGTGATAATGCCGGTGAAAATGGCAGCCGTACACGTCTAACTTCCATTAAATGTTCCGGAGGTTTAGCATTTGATATTACAAGGCAAACATGTGATTGGAAAACAAATGTTAAAAACTGCGATCAAAATGAGAGTAAGTCAAAATTGTTGAGCTGTGGAAATAGCCACAAGCAAACAATTCTCCTTTATTTCCTCCCTCCACCAAACTACCAACAACCAACCAACCTAAAAAACAACAAACAATCTACCAGTCCTGTTCTATATATATTTACTCCTTTGTTTTCCCCCTCATATGTATATGTATGTGTTAATCCTGAATACAACTGGTTTTTTGTCAATTATTCGGCTATTTGTTCTATATTCGACGAAATGGTCAAATTCTTAACTCTCTGTATTCTCTAATTTCAATTCTAACTTCTGTGATTGTTCTAATGTTTTATATTCTTCACAAAACCATCATTTCTGGAATGTCGTTGGTTTCCACTGTCGTTCTGGTGATTTGTTTATCAAACTCAAAACCGAAATCAACTTCACTTTTTTCTTCATCTCATATTATTTAACCATCAACAACAATCATCACTGTACTGTATTATTTCTATATATATATCTAGAGTATATATTTCTGTGTTTGTGTCTCACAATAATCGAAAACGGGCCTTGAACGCCCAAACGTCCTCTGATGCATTGAAAAAATCCACAACAAACGTCAGCATTATGTATGTGTATATAATTTGTTTATGTGTTAGCATTGTGTATAATAAAAATCAAAAACAACTGCAACTGAAATCGAAAAAAGTTCGAAAAATGTGTTCGCCTATTTACCTTTAATTCTCTTCTGCATACAAAAAGTTCTTCAGCAAAAGAAATGTACAATAAATATCTACGACTACGCACAAATAGGGACATCTGAAGATTTAAATGTTGAAGCCTGTTCATTTTTTTGAAATCCTATGTATATTTTCGAAAAAATTATAATTCTTGTAAAGAAACCCCACAAAAAAGAAATACCCAAAAAACCTCTCCATTTTTTGTGTGTTTTTAGATGTACAAGATCAGGTTTGAAAGAAATCCAATGTCCCTCAGGTCTGGCCTTCGATATTATGAAACAAACTTGTGACTGGAAGGCTAAAGTAACTAACTGCAATGAGAAAGAAAGTAAGTCGACCAACAACAACAAAGCTTTTTTTTTGAAACAACAAAATACAAAAACAATTTAATAAAACACACACAATCTGGCAAAGGGACAAAATAAAAAAATAAAGAAAACAATAAACAAAAAAATAGTAAAGAACGCAATCAGAGTACAAGAACACTTCCAACCACTACACTACTGTCCCTCTATTTACCACCAATCTAACGAAAGCATGATCTTTGGTTATTGGCTTAAATCATTATTGCTATTACAAACAACTAACCGCACATATTTACGCTCAGACACTCTATTCTAACCAAGACCCTATATCTATATATCCCCCTATCTACTATACTACTCTTGTCACTAACGCTTCCACTGAAACAATTTCAAGTTATGACTAACATTTCCCCCTGTATATCTAAAAATCAATTCTCACATTCTACCTCTTTCAATCATTAACTAATCCATAACTTTGTTTCCCACTTTTCAATTTAGAACCACGCAAGGCTAAGCCCATCTTCAAGACCGACGAGCCCATTTGCCCCGAAGGCAAATTGTCTTGCGGTGATGGTGAATGTTTGGACAAAGAGCTTTTCTGTAACGACAAAGCCGACTGCAAGGATGAATCTGATGAAAATGCTTGCTGTAAGTAGTCCGTCCCGTCCGTCATCTCTCGGCGATCGTGAACTTCATCAGAAGATGCTTATTTATGTGTTTTTCTTCTTCATTTTTACCCAACAGCTGTTGATGATGATCCAAACCGCGCCCCCGAATGCGACCCCACCCAGTGCGCCTTGCCCGATTGTTTCTGCTCTGCTGATGGTACCCGTATCCCTGGTGGCATTGAACCCCAACAAGTACCTCAAATGATTACCATCACCTTCAACGGTGCCGTCAATGTTGACAACATCGATTTGTACGAAGAAATCTTCAACGGTAATCGCCAAAACCCCAACGGCTGCTCCATCAAGGGTACCTTCTTCGTGTCCCACAAATACACCAACTACTCTGCCGTCCAAGACTTGCACCGCAAGGGTCATGAAATCTCTGTCTTCTCTTTGACTCACAAGGATGATCCCAACTACTGGACCAGCGGTACCTACGACGATTGGTTGGCTGAAATGGCCGGTGCCCGTTTGATCATTGAACGTTTCGCCAACATCACCGATGGTTCCATCATTGGTATGCGTGCTCCCTACTTGCGTGTCGGTGGCAACAAACAATTCGAAATGATGTCCGATCAATTCTTCGTCTACGATGCTTCCATCACCGCCTCCTTGGGTCGTGTGCCAATCTGGCCCTACACCTTGTACTTCCGTATGCCACACAAGTGTAACGGTAATGCCCACAACTGCCCATCCCGTAGCCACCCCGTCTGGGAAATGGTCATGAATGAATTGGATCGTCGTGATGACCCCACCTTCGATGAATCTCTGCCCGGTTGTCATATGGTCGACTCGTGCTCCAACATTGCCGGCGGTGATCAATTCGGTAGACTTTTGCGTCACAACTTCAACCGTCACTACAATAGTAACCGTGCTCCTTTGGGTCTCCACTTCCACGCCTCCTGGTTGAAGTCCAAGAAGGAATACAAGGATGAATTGATCAAATTCATTGAAGAAATGTTGGCCCGCAACGATGTCTTCTTCGTCACCAACTTGCAAGTCATCCAATGGATGCAGAACCCCACTGAATTGAACGCTTTGCGTGACTTCCAGGAATGGAAGGAGAAGTGCGACGTCAAGGGTCAACCCTACTGCTCTCTGCCAAATGCCTGCCCCTTGACCACCCGCGAATTGCCCGGTGAGACATTGCGTCTCTTCACCTGTATGGAGTGCCCCAACAACTACCCCTGGATCTTGGATCCCACTGGTGATGGTTTCTCAGTTTAAGTCACCACTGAACAACGAGGGAACTAATTTATATAATTTTTAAGTTTTTGTTAGGATTCAGTTTTTATAAAAACAAAAGAAAAAAATGTAGGAGCTCCGTTTAGGAGCTTTTTGCAAACAAACGAAATCTTTAAAAGCTAAAACAAGCCAAGAATTACGTTACTGAAGTAGTTCTAACTAGAGTCTGATTAAAAAAAGGAAATATGTGAAAGAAACTAATTCTCAAATTTAAACTAGAAGACATCTGTCAGAGTCTTCGAAGGAAAACAATACTCATTTCCGCTTTCTCTATTTCTAAATATCTGTGCCACCTATCTATTGCCTATGAATGTCTATCATTTTCTATTTCTCTACAATTTCATATTCTGAGTGCCAATCACTTAAATGTTTATTTTCCCCTCAATCTATCCCTCTCCCATCTACCACTTTATTTGTTGATACAATTTTTGTAAATCTATTGATCCTTTTAGAGCTGCCATCTGTGTTTTTAATAATTTTTATAGAAGACCAAAAATATGTTTTTTTTTTAATTTCAAGCTGCAGCTGTAACACCATTTTTTTAATTATTTTAGTATTTTTTAAGAGAAATACAAAAAAAGGATACACATTTGTAAAATAGTCTTAAATAAAAAAATTTAAAAAATTACAAAAAAATATAAATATACACTTGTTTTATTTGGAAGAAAATGAAGGAAATTCAGGACAACTTGTTTCCATGAAAAAAACGTATTACTTGACCTTATTAATCTGACAAAATTCCTATTCACATGACCATCACTGCGAATTAGAATAACATTTCAATATCTATGACACAAACCTACCACTGAATACCTCTGGGTGTGCGTGTGTGTGTTTTTACGTTTCAATTTTATTTCCTTTAAGGAAAACAACAAAGCCCTGGAAAATCGTTTCTCAGTCAATAGAATTTCAGTCATAAGAGTACCCAACAAATCCAATTAAAACAGCCAACTAATGCAATTAACAACTGACCGACAAGCAGCCAATCAATGGCATCGACAATGGCAGCAGCTAAACAATGTTATGGTAAATATGTCCATTTAGTAGCGAACGGTCTTTTCAGGTGGTCTCATTTCGAAGGCAAAACGGGAAAATAAATAAAGAACTTACAGTCACAGTTATTGATAGTAACGGATTCGATTTGGAATATTATTTTTAAATTATCCATTAAATTAACCAACAAAAACCGCCATCATGCCTAAAGTTGATCCAGAAATTCAAAAATTATACGATGAAATCAATGGAATGATTGAAAAATTCAGGGTGATGAAATACTTGTATTAAATTGTATAATTAAATAACTAAAGAAAATAATTCATAAAGTGAATAATAATAATAATTAACAAAATCCATAACAAGATTAGAAAAATAAATTGTTAATGTTGAAAAATTTAATACAGAAAAATTATAACTAACCTATATTATATGCATAATATAGTGGTCTTTAAATACAAGGCCAGACTTTATGATTTGCTAGTTATATAAGATGGGGATAAATAATAAAAAACATTATTTGTGTCCATTAAATCTGATAAACTCTACAAACATTTTTAGTGACGGCAAAAAAAAACTGTTCGGAAGTAAAAAAAAATTATGAACATCTAAAAATGTTTATCTATAATAAGTTTTCAAAAATACAGTGTTTAATTAAACAATGTATAGTATAACAAAAAATCATATGAAAATCCCATCGTATCGATATTGATTCGAAATCATGTTAGATGTTTTCTTATGAAATCCCACACTTTTTGAAAACTACTATTTATTGTTTTTTATTCAAACGGTTTAAATACCAAATTGAATGCATTTCGTTGAAACAATTAAAGGGGCTCAGAAGTAATTTTCCTTTTGATATTTTTTTATTTACGCAGGAGGATCAAAAAGCCAAAGCTGATTGTACGCTGCAAGAAAAATGCGGTGATATGGGAGATATTCCCAAAATAAGATTGGCACCGAAAAAAGTACTAAAGGGTCATATCAATAAAGTAAATTCCGTACATTTTGCTGGAGATTCTAGGCACTGTGTTACGGGTTCGTTGGATGGTAAGCTAATTATTTGGGACACATGGACGGCAAATAAAGTGCAGGTAAACTCAAGGTTCAACCTTTGAAGTTTGTGTAAATAAAAAATTAATAAAAAAAACATTTTAAAGATTATTCCTCTGAGATCTGCCTGGGTTATGACAGTGGCATTTTCACCATCGGGTAATTTTGTGGCATGTGGCGGTATGGACAATCAATGTACAGTATATGATGTCAATAATCGGGATGCATCTGGTGTGGCAAAATTAACAAGAGAATTATTGGGTTATGAAGGTTTTCTCAGCTCCTGTCGTTTTCTGGATGATACTCATTTAATTACTGGATCGGGTGATATGAAAATGTAGGGCAATATAAGTTTACTTTTCAAATTTCTAATATTATTTTCGCATTATATTCTCCAGCTGTCATTGGGACTTGGAAAAAGGTGTGAAGACCATGGATTTCAATGGTCATGCTGGTGATATTGCCGGTCTGTCATTGTCTCCAGATATGAATACCTATATTACGGGATCTGTAGATAAAACCGCCAAACTTTGGGATGTACGAGAGGATGTACACAAGCAAATGTTTTTCGGACACGAAATGGATGTTAATTCAGTTTGTGTAAGTGAAACTTAGTATTAAGAAATTATTATGGATTGGTACTGATCGCCACATTTTAGTATCATCCAAATGGCATGGCGTTTGCATCAGCTTCGGAAGATCAAACTGCTCGTATGTACGATATACGAGCTGATCAACAAATTGCTTTATATGAACCGCCACAAAAGAATACAGGTTTTACATCATGTGGTAAGAAATTCAATATAACACTGAGGGACAAAATAATTAAATATATTTTCATTCTCTTAAAGCTTTATCAACCAGTGGCCGTTACTTGTTGTGCTCTGGTATTGAGGGTAATATCCATTCTTTCGATACCATGAAAGTGTGCCACAATGGTAAGAATTGATTTAATTTTATTCCTATTCAAAATTGTAATGATTTTTCATTTCTAGGAATGATGGCTGGCCATGAAAATCGTATAACATGCATAAGCTTGTCACCAAATGGCATGTGTTTGGCATCTACTAGCTGGGATCAACAAGTTCGCTTGTGGTTATAAATTATTATGCAATATTATACAAAAATTAAAATATCATTTTATTTTTGAACATAAATAGAAATTTGAAAAAAACTATTTTAATTAAAAAAAATATATATAAATTGTGGAAAATGTAATTTCACAAAGCCGGCGTTTTATTTTATGTATTATTAAAGGGTAAAATTATTAGTTCATAAGACGCATAAGTCCTATCCTTGAGTTATACACTGAAGAATTGTATCTATCTAACATAAACGATTTATATAGAATTTTTTGTGATATATCGTATGAGGAGAATTTTGTAGAATATATTCATTTCGCTAATGTTTTATGTGCCACTTTAATTTTCAAAAACGCCTACAAGATGGAAATTGTTTTGATATCTAAATTTCTACCGAAATTATATTAAAAGGTTATAGGTAGGATCAGGAAGAACCAAACCGCTCTCAGACATTGGATTCAATTATCTTACATGACTTAATTTATAATCTGATATACTAGGTATATATATATATGATATATTAGGTATATATATATGATATACTAGGTATATATATATGATATACTAAATATATATGATATACTAGGTATATTTACGAAATGTAGATTCGCAATATAAGACCTTCCATAGTTCCAAAGCCAATTGCAAAAAATTATTCTTATCATGTATGTATCTACATGCAGTTATGTATTCCAAAATCGCATTAACTAACAAAAACCATTTGGATATTTCATTTTCATAAATACCCATGCTTTGGAAATTTTATTCTATTAAATTGTACCCTTATAGCTAGAGACGAAAAAAAAATTGTTATAGTAAAACAAAAAAATGCTAATATTTGTCCGTGAGTATAAAACTACTCAATACATTGCCATAATCTGTTTCAAGCCACAATTCATAAACTTATTTGTCCAATCATTTTCTGGATTATCTAGGTGATTGTCAAAGTCCACAACATCCTTCATGGCTCCACGTTTCAGTAAGGCTGCAACAGCTTCCAATGTAGCTTCTGATTGAATCAATTTATAATCGGCTCGTGCCCAACGACCGGCTTCCGATGTACAAGAGTAGACTTTAAGTGGTGGCACTTCCTGGCCCAGTGTCATTAGTTTATTATCGATCATAACAAAGCAGGCAGCTTTATAATTTTCTTGGATTTTATCGGCAATTTTAGCAGCCGATGCCTTATCCAAAGTGTTGTCATAAAAATTCTCGGCAGCACAATAGTATCCAGAGACTACCAGATTTTCACGTTCACAATATGAATCAATCTTCATCATAGGAGGGAAAGTGGAAAGAACATAATTAAACGAGACCGACAAAATGATAATGATTATCTTGTGTTCTAACCTGCATTAGGGCTATTTCGGCCATAGGGGTAACATACAAACACTGATGAAAGAGGGGAATGGCATCCACGATCTCACCTTCAGTTTTGGAGGATAGCAAAACACCATTGACAGCGAGGTGTGGATATTTGGCAGCATGGAAAATCATTTTGGCGTAGGCCAATTCACTGAATTTGTACAGAGTCATGACTGGATAGAAGTTTTTCTTTTAACTTTTGGATGAAAACACGTATTTTTGTATGCAGCCGAAAAAACACCTTTGGATTTTAATGAGTAAATGTCAAAATTGTAGGTATACTTAGGTCGATTTTTGACTTTTTTTTATCGATAACACTTTTATGTCTGTTTTGAGCGTCATTCGTGTTTGGTAGGTCTGTTTGGAAACTGTTTTGCATGTTTCAGTAAAAATATTTTAAAAATGAAGCAAATTAAAAAAACGAAATTGCTAGTTATTAAAATATTGATGTAATTTTCATAAAAAACCTTATGATGAATAACTAAACCTTCTATCAATACCAAGGTGTATGCATGAATTACAACAACTAATTTTATTACAAAAACAACATTATTGTCATTGAATATTACTGTTGATCATGGAAAATATACGAACAAATTCTATAAGTAAACATTATTTTGTATTATCGCGGCAAAATAGCACAATTTAAAGTTCATCTCTTATTTTTTCTGGTACGTTTTGGGACCAATTTAGAAAAAGTTCATTGAAAATATTATATTTGAATATTATAAATAAAAAAGAAAGAACAAGAAAGTGATCAAACTTGTTGTTGTACCTTTATAAATAATTAATTGATAATAATTTACCGATTAACCGATTTAAAGATGTTTAGTTAATGTTTTACTAGTTTCGAATACGGGAGCGGATCAAATATTCTTTGCATTTTATTTAAAATCTTCATAATTTATTATATGTTTTTAAGGTATCAAAATAATTTCTCACTGTCATCCCTATTCAGTTGGACGAACTGCATTACCGACATCACCAGTCAGCCTGTTTTATCGACTCTCTATTGGATATGTCAATCGTGACATCTGTTTTTTCTTTTTTCCCATTGACAGATAAAAACAACAAAAAATATTAATTTTTATGTCAAATTATGAAAATAAAAATATAAAACAAAAGAGATAGACTTCGAGTGTCCAAAACAAGTTTCCAATTCCCAAATAAACAAAGGAAAATGAAGAGCAACGTTTAGAAGGAAGTCAGGAAATAACAACAAAAACACAGACAAAAGGTAAATACGAAAATAATGATGGAAACAATAACATTGAACACAGCAGAAAATCCCAACTCCAGACACGTAGCAGCTGGAGGTAAGTAGTAACAATAGTAGCCCACAACAGGAGATCAAGCATTTAAAAGTTAATTTTGTTCCATGACATAGGTTTGGAAGATCACCATCATCATCAACACTCACCTGTGGATGAAGAACAAATGATGAATCTCTCGGATATGGCTGATCTTTCACAAGAAATGCAAGAGGGCATAGTGTCATTGCCCAAGGAGGTGATATTGATTTCTCTCGTCTCCCAAGAGCAGGCATTGTATAATCCAAAACATGAAAACTATCGAAATACTCATCGCAAGGATATTAAATGGATGGAAATAGCCGAGAATGTGGGATGGACGGGTATGTTGTTGTAAGAACAAAGAAAAGAACATTTTAAAAATATCCAATTCCTTCTGAACAATTTTTAGAGGTACAATGTAAAGCCAAATGGAAGGCTATGCGAGACCAGTATTGCAGAGAATTGAAGAGGAGTAAATTCAATAACAAGGCCAATGTCAAGTGGAAGTATTTTAAGGAATTGGATTTTCTAAGGCCTTACGCCTTGGCCAGGAAGTAAGTGCTACTGTCGATTACACATTATACTCAATAGCATTATAACAATTTCTTCCCCACAGCTATCGTCCGCGGAATCCAACACCTCTAAATAACAATACCTCCACCAGTAATAACAACACCCAGAACCAAAATACATTTAACTGTGCCCCTGCCACGGATAACATGAATCACAGCGGCGACAACAATAACGCCAAATTTGCAACCATTAAAATCGAAAGTAATGCCACGGGAAGCTTTGCAACATGTGATTTTTCTACTGTGAAGACAGATACTGCCACAAATCTAACCGAGGAACAACTGAATAATGTGTTGCAGCAACAAAGTGATGATCATAATTGGACCTATATAACAACAGGATCCTCTACATCCTCGAATAATAATTCACGGCTGGATAATCATTCATTGAGCGATACAGCCCATCTACTGTCATCTCACACTCATCATCAGCAGCAACAACAGAATGATGATGCTTTGTACAATGCCTTGGTTAGCTGTGTGGGTCAAATCCAACAACAGCAGCAACAATTGTGCCAACAACAGCAGCAGCAGCAACTTTCACAGTCTACCTCATCAAATCAGCAACAACAATCTGTAGCCACAACGACGGTTATTGATGAAGAAGATGACGATCCCATACACACATTTTTAAATATTGAAAGTTATTTTGAAAAGGAATTGATTGCCCTAATACAGCAGGAGGATGTCCTGTACAATAGTTATCATCCTAATTACCGAAATGTTAAACTAAAACTGGAGGTATGGGATGAAATTGCTAGGAAATTAAAGAAAACCGTAAAGCAATGTCGCCTCAAGTGGAAAGCCTTAAGAGATCAGTTCATTAGGGAACATAAACGCTTAAAAAATCGCGATAATGTGGAGTCATTGCCCAGATGGAAACACTACGATGCTTTGAGTTTTCTACAAAAGTTTATTAAGCACAAAGCGGGGTAAATATGAAGATATCATAGAAATGTATCTGTTATTTAAATATTTCTTCGTTTCTTTTCCAGGGATTATGAAAACAAGTCTCTTATGCAAATTCCAAAATCTGAAATTGATGGCGATATGGACGACGATGACGATGATCATATAAATATGGGCGGTAGTTCACCACTGGATAATATGAAATGTGAAATAAATCAAAGCCAGTTACAAATGTCCGATTTGGAAGGGGTCAACAACAACCAGAGCCTACATCAACAACAGACGGAACATCCGGATGGCTTATGTGTAACTTCGGGTAGTGTTGGAGGTTATGACGATATGGATATCGACAATTATATTATGGGTGACAGTGATAGTGTGGTAGATGATCACAACAACCATGACGACGTGGATGAAGATGAAGAACGCAAATCTCAACAGGATTTCTCAGTATATCACACGAATCACAATGCAGACGATGTTAATATGCATTCAACTAATTTGGATACTTCAAATCAGCAGGCATTTAAAACCACAAGTCCACAGACATTACAACAAACATCAACAGGAGTGGCTGAGCAACAACAGTCGCAACATATGAATATGCCTTCGTTAGATTTAAGTGATAGTTCTGGCAATCTCATTACACCGGACAATTTAAAGAATGTAACAACAACAATGCAGCAAACATCCTTTCAAACTTCGAATCTTGTAAATGGTACCAGTATAAGTTTAACTCCCACACTGGAGCTGTGTTCTGCGACAACTCATCATGCTGCGAGTAATAACACTACACCTGTCACTGTTCCCACAACATCCGAGGCATCCACAAATACTCCTCAGCCTCAAAGCAGCAACAACAACCCTAGCCATACAATCAGTAATAATTCTGTCAATAGTGAGGATGATGAAGTTGGTGCTTTCTTTAAGGCGGTTGCCATGAAAATACGTAATGCCAAATTATCACCTGTGGCCTTTACCGATCTTCAAATAGATATTTTAAAAGTTATTAATGGTTCTTTGAGAAATCATTAAGAGACAATTTTTAATCGGCTGACATACAATGACCCCAATTAGGAAAAAATAGTAAGGAGAGAATTAGGACTTTTAGCAAAAACACAACAATAAAACGGGGCATACAAAATGAAGAAGAAGAAGAAGTAGGAAAACGGGATCAATTAGTTGTTATTTAGACAACTCTGTTTTTTTTTAAGTAAGACAACTGTATATTATTTCATATAGAATCAATTATAACAAACCAAAATTGGAAACCCCATCCATATTTGTTACAATTTAACAAAAATACTGTTATAAATATGTATTATTGTCACTAACAGTGACATATAATTTATCGTTTTCATTGTTTTTATCTATCTTAGAATTGTTTTTACTCTTTATTATTATTTATTTGTTTTTATTATATCATACATATACATATGTAACACGGACAGACCCCCTCACCAATCATCAACAATTTGAACTTGTTAAAAAAGAAACCGTTTGTGTAGATTAATTTTTATTGATTTCTAAAATATGAAAACATTCTCTAATTTATCACAGACCCCATAATTTTTCTAATGCATTAAAATTATATTCGTTTTTGGCATATTTTAAGCACAAAATGAAAAAAAAACTGTTTTACCTAGAAATATATATTTTAAAAAATGTACAATATATACCATAAATATATATACACACATAAAAAAGAAATGGATATACATATTTTTTGTAAATAAAGACGTATTGTGTTTAGAAAAGAACATGAAAACTGTGTGCTCAAGAATCCGTCGATTCGGAGAAAGGATATGAGACTGGTTTAAATTATGATGAAAAAATACAAAGACTACATTTCTATTATTGTCATAATAGGTAATATTTTTAGAAGTTTGTTTATGGGCTTCATTAAGGAAAATATTTAAAAAGAAATTCAACTTTGAATTTCGAAATCGTTTTTAGTTCCGAATCGGCTACGAATATATTTTATGATGCCTAACTGTTTATACCTTCCACCATGATATGGAAATTTAAAATATCTATAATCGCTTCGGACTTTTGGTAGGAAGATTTGAATTAGAGCTATATTCCCTAAAATACGGGATAATGGGGCGTACCGTTATATGGAGGCTATTCTAAAACATGAACCAATATTGAAAATTTTTGTTAATGAGATTTCACACCCAACGACAATTCAAAATATCAAATTACAGGTATTCTAAAGAAAAACATTACTGAACTGCATAAAATACCCAAATTAGGGGGCTAGCGTTATATGGGGCCTAATATTAAGAATGGACCAATATTGATAATTTTTGGTAGGAATAAATATGAGAACCCAAATTTCGGGCGATTATGGGGTACTATTTACGCACCCATTAATTGTATAGCATGCTATCTTCCCAAAAGAAATTTTTAGTCAGCCTTAACCCACATAAAAAGGATTTTTCCTATCTGTTTCACGTCTGTGGCAATATACGAATCATAGTTGTCGGATAGAATGCTAGTCTGTCTATAAAAAAAAACACCCAAGCAAGTTGTGGCCTTCACTTGAATCTATAGGGTCTGACGATGCTGGTAATCAGAAAAGGTTATTCTTGCCGTTGTCGTGGAAATTGATCTTCTACATGACATTTGGTAGCCAAGCCTAATTCTTCTTGAGTCGTCCAGGTATTAACAAGATTTCGCTCAATACAAACATATTAAAAGACTACGACTACGTGGGAACATTAGATCCAAGCGTTACGAGAGTTCCTAATAAATATGAGACAACAAAAACATAATGGAACGGTTTAGGGATACAAATTTCCGCCTGGCAATAAAAAGTATCACAGGCTCTCAACAATCAATGCCCCGAGATCAGCTTACAGTCGAAAGAGTTAAGTACACTTGTTTGGATTCCCATTATCTGAAGGAGTTCTTATCCTTGCTGGCTAAATCACATAATATGACTGAACATTGTCACCGGTGAAATGAGTTGGTGTTCCTATGAAGGTTTTAAATCGGGATTATTTAGGTGTAAGGTGGGTATCCATTATACTACTCCAATTTATTGTATGTAAATTTTATGTGTATTGCATTTCGGGGAACGTCTGATCAATTCTTCGGCATCGATGCAACCAATATTTCTCCATGTATAATGTTCGCAGCATTATTAATAAATTTACAGTCGATTTTTTCCAAAGCGTAGCAATTGAGGATCTATGAAATATCCTCTTATAGTACGTTTACATTATACCGGATTTAGTTAACCCAGTGGGTTTCAATTGTCATTTGCATTGCCTATTTGTCAAATAAATCCTGCAAAAAGTTCTAATGTAAATGCCGTATTATAGAGAATTTTTCTGTGGGAATTTTCGTTTATTCTTTATAAAAATGTTCTATTTGAATATAAAATATTATTTGACCATTTAACATATCCATTTTTAAAGTACCCATTATAAAGCAAATGGGTATAGGTACTATATTTTACTGGAAAAAAGTAAAGATTTAATCTTTATGTGAAAAAAAACAGAAACAAAAACAGCGTAAGACTACTAAATAAAACACTTGAATTTCAAATGAAATCAACAAAACATTCGATTTGTAGAGGTAACAGCAGAAATAAATACTCGCTCATCATCATTCAGTTTTTGTGTAATTTAAAGACAAATAAATACGGAGAGAAGCAGCAGCAGCTGCTGCTTCTGCTACCACGGCAAAACAGAAGACCCAAAACAATTATCTTTTTAGTAAAATGAACAAAAAAATAACAATTTTCCCTGCTTATGGCCACCACCACTCCCCGAACGCTAAACAAAAGAGTGTAACAGAAAGAGAAAGAAGAATGCAGATGTCCTCTCATTGGCAAAATACCCCGTAACCAATCACAATAAAGTATATAAAGAGTAAAGAGCACAAATGCAAAATACAGAGAGAGGCTTTCTCTTTCACTCCAATTGTTGGTTTTTCTTTGTGTTTGTATTTGTTGTACAATTGTCTATATACAGTTATTTGTTGCTCTCCATGTGTTATGTACCAAGAGAGTTGCACGCATTTGCTGACATTGCCATTTAAACGAAAATATCTTTACAAAAATTAGTTTTTCCCCAGTTGGTATTGTTTTAAATTTTGCGCATTGTTGCTGTTGTAGCTGCTGACGATTTTTCTAGCCCCATGGCGTTTCAATTTCGGAATTTGGCATTTTGTAAATTTGTTTGTGGAGTTTAGTGATGCATAATTTTAGCGCTTGATTGATTTCACATTATTAGCTTTATTCATATCAATGTTTTTGTTTTGTTATTGTGTGTGTGTGTGTTCCACATACAAACATTTGTGTGTGTATAAATAATAGTACAAATGCTATAATAAATGCAGCAATCAATCGTAGATGCATTTACATATTTTACAGGTTAGAGAGTGAGCCGTCGAGTCGTTAGGATAAATTGACAAATGAAATATTCATAACAAGGTGTGGTGTGGTTGAAATGTTCGCGTTTTTTGGTTATTTTCAAATTGTATCCACAGACCACCACCTTCAATGAAATCGATCTACTCCATGTTTGAATATTGTATTGCCTCATAATTGAATGGAGGTAGATATATAGTGAAGAAAAAATTTAAATTTTAAAATGTTTTTGTACAATCACATTAAATTGAAGACATAAAGTAAATTAAACTGGTATTGAAACAAGGTGAAAGAACACGCATTTTTTAATATTGCATTCTGTTATTAACATTTTAAATATATTAATAAGAAACCTTTTAATTCCAGTAATATTAATTCTTTTCTGTAATATAGAGTTTTCAGCCGTATTGCTGTCTTTCCTGAAATAAATTAGTAGGCGGCATTAACCGAGGTTAAAGTAGATTGATTCTATCCTTTAGAATTATCTACTCTCCTAACGAAACCAGAGAGAACCTAACGAAAACATAAGAAAATGTTAATGGCGATATAGTAATGGACCTATTCACATCGTGAAAGTGTTTAAACAAAAGAATTAAAATACGCTACGCAATATGTTTTGCTATTAGATTATTAAAAATAATAGAAGTTCAAATTGAAAAGTGAAAAATACACAAATATTTTAAATAAGTTTACACAATTTTTGTCATAAGGATATCACAGACAACCATTCAGTAACAGTAATCGATTCTACGTCGATGAGCCACAGCAGACTAATCATCTACTTGGATGGAATACAAATGAATAACGATTAGGATAAACAAAATGGTCATGTAATACCGCAGCTGAGAGAACAATGGCAACACTAAATAAGTAGGGAACCCGACCCATGTACAAAATTCAAGTTGGTGCTGTTTCTAAGCTCCATATTTTAGGACAGGCTAGAGCAAATTAACTACTTCGCTGGAATAAAAAAAATATTAACGAAAGTAATCGAAGGACCAATTGAGGAAGATGGCGATGCTTTGCCGAAGCCCATTCAGAGAAAATTAATGGTACCCCAAACTTTACACAAAGTGGAGGCATTGTTTCTTTGCAACGACAGATGGCATAACCATCACCTTGGACAGGCTTGGACAGGAGACCATTGATATATTTAGCAGGAATAAAAAATGATTAACGAAACTAATTCATGGACCAATCGAGGAAGATGGCGATACTTTTATCGAACCCCATTCAGAGAAAAAGACAACAGTAAATAGCAAGCGCCCTTTACACGAAGCGGCGTCATTGTTTCTAGGTAACAATAGATGGCAGACCCATCGCCCAGGTCATGTTACAGCTGACCAATCATCTATATAGCTGGAACAGAAAAAAATATGCCTCACCCTTTCAACTACCATTCGGTGATAAAGATATCGACTACCCCTGTCAAACTACCGACATATATGGTGATGGCTGCTTTGGGGGAACTTTATTTTCATATAAAACGACGGAGGTAAAATTTAGTAACGAGATCGAGAATATCGGTCAATATATTTTGGAATCAAACTTTGCGGATCACAACACACTTCACAAAAATGTTAATCTTATAAAATAGAATTCAAAATTCACTTAAATTCGGAATTAGCTGCGAATTCGAAGTGATAACTCGGCA